CTGAGATCTTGGGTTCCCACTGGGCATTGGCTAGTGCTGAAAGTTTTAAACTAATTAGTTTATTTAGTCTTCATAGTACTCTTAAGAGTCTAAAATTATGGGGCTGGGGATTTAGCTCAGTGGCAAAAGTGCCTGCCTGGCAAGCGCAAGGTCATGAGTTCGGTTCCCAGTACAGGAGAAAAACCAAGAAAAAAAAAAAGAGTCTAAAATTATTTTCATCCATTCCAGATGGGTTCTGACCAGTTAAGGAATCCATCCAAAGATGCACAGCTACTAAGTGGAGAGGCAGTATGGAACTAGGTTTGTCTGACTCTTTCAGTAAATTCTAGCTCCTGATCTGTTACTGTAGTTTGTTTTGTCTCCTGTTACCCAGAGAAAAGTCACTGAAAGGCTGGGGCCCCCATTTCTTTATTTATTAAATGTGGGTGGAGACACACGGTTGATAGAATTTCACTTCTAATATCTCTGTTCTGTTTTACAGAGATCAAGGCTGGTGTTTGGAAAATTGTGCTTTCTCTTTCCTTAGAATGATAAAAGAATTACAGAAGAACTGGGCTTGCTGAATAAATAAATCACTCCATTTCCATGGACAACTGCTCCCACTTTTGAAAAAGAAAAGAATGCTTTACACTTGATTCCAGGGCATTTGGGAGCAGTTGCTAATTGGCATGGTCAATAATTCTGTAGTTACTATGCATGTAGTAATGGATAGGTATGAATCTTCTGAGGGCTTAAAGCCAAGGCAGCATGAAGCAGCCTTCTGTAACACTTAAGTTCCTGTTTCTCTCTTCCTCGCTTCCATCCTTCCTTCTTTTCTTTCTTTTTTTTTTTTTTTTTGTGATACTGGGGATTGAACCCAGAGCCATTGTCCTGAGCTACATTCTGAGCACTTTTTAAATTTTTATTATGAGCTAAAGTCTTGCTAAGTTGCCCAAGCTGGGCTCAAACTTGTGATGCTATTGTCCAGCCTACCAGAGTGCTGGGATTGCAGATACGTGCCCCCATTCCCAGCTAAGTTCTCATTTCCAGAGCAAACCTTTTGCATTCACTTTAATTGTTTCAGAAACATAGACTTCTTGCCTCTGTTGCCTCCTGAAGGTGTCTGGGTAAGTGGGGTGGGATGGCTGCAGTAGGGCAAAAAAAAGCACCATAACTGGTAGCCATCCTACCCCAGTGCTCCACAGCACCCCCTAGCAGCCTAAGATGCAACATGCAAAAAGTTTAGGATTGACTAAGGTATGGAGTCTATTTAAATAAAGTGAAAGGCAAGGGAAAAAATACTGAAAGAGGACAGACACTCGAGCAAACTACTTGCTAATGGGGGAAATAGCTAAGCTTCGCTTTACCATGCAGTTACAGAGGAAAAGGTCCTTGAGACCATTTGGTCCAATTCTCTCCTTTCCTGGGTCAATATGAACCGCGCACCCCTCTCCTGCTTTGTGTGGAGCCCACTCCAGTCCACACATGCACACAGTTCACTGGACTGAAACAGAGCAAGTAGGTGCAGATCCTGGCAAGGTAAAGCCATACTTCGTCCCATTTCCACTTTGTTTCTGTTCAGTGTTTCAACCACAGAGTGGCGCTATTGCAAAAGATAAGGGTAGGCGGAAGGCAAGCTGCAGAAACTGGCGGTAGGAGAGCCTTTTTAAAGGGGGCTTTCAAAAACTTGATCTGGTTGCTGCGCTCACCACTTTCAGGAAACAGGGCCTTCGACTCTGATACAGCAGGGAGCAAAAGAAAGTCCAGAGACCTAAAAATACAGCCAACAGATGGGCAGTCAAGACCATGACTAGAGTTAGCGTGGAGACAATCCACCTTGCGAAGGGAAGAGAAGCTGCTTTCCCATGGGCTTCCACAGCTCTGGCTGTCTGCGGGGCACCAGCTCCCCAGCTTTCCTCACATTTCTGCTCTTTGCTTCAGCGATCTTTCCATTAAAAAAAATGCCTCTCTGTAGACACCCAGGTTGCTTAGAATTTGCTACATCCTGCTTCCCAAGTCACTCCGCATTACATTTAATAACCTGTAACTTAATCTTTAAGCAAATACACCTTTCTACTTTTCCACCCACCCTTTTCTCTTATCACCTTGGCAGACTCCTGTAAAGTGGGAAGGGAGACCCAGGCACCTCATTCCTCAATCTTCTGTAGGGGGAAGAAGAGGTTATGGTCACCTTTAAAGCTGAAGCAGAAGGACACACAGGATAGGAAAGACGCAGGTTGTTTGCTCAAGGAAGGCTGCCCTAGATTTTCTCCCAAAGAAAAGAGCCTGTGCTCTCCTTTCCAGAAACCTTTTGGAGAAAAGAGCATCTTTCGTCCTTTGCTCCTGCCTGGGTCTTTTCTCTCCTTCCCCAGCCCCTCCCTGCCGTCCCCGCCTTAAAGACACCGAGTATATTTGGCAAGATTAAGGTGTCACCTCTCATATTACAAGGCCTGTTGACTGCATGCAGAGACAGACCCACCAGCTCCCTAGAGTTGGAAAACAATGCAAATTCTTCCTGCCATGGCCCAGGTCCTAGCGAAGGGAACCGGCCAGCCAGTGCGAGGCATCTGCAGAACAAATCGCAGTCTTCAGCTCAGGGCTGCCTTTTCTTCCTGTTCTTTTCTTCTGAGTTTTCTTATTTGAGCTTGCCCCTCTTCCCCTCCTCCCTCCAGACTGCCAGTGACCCAGGCGCTGCTGCTGCTACACATGCATTTAACCCCTTCCTTGCTGCAGTCTGAACCGAACACCTCTTTTCTTTCAATCTGCAGATTCCACAAGGTGCTGGAGTTTGAGAAAAAAGCCCCTAGAACTCACCCGTCAGAGCTGAAACTGGGTCCTGGATCCTTCCTCTGAGGAATCGTGTAGCAAGTGTACATGGAAAGAACAAGGACCTTTTTTGGGAAGAGATGAGTCAGGAGGTCCTGGTCACCCACCCTGGTGACTGATGCCTGTCTAGAATATCGATCATTATTGTTTATCTCTGGGGGAGGTGTGTAGGTCTAGTCATTCCATCTTTATCTTGAGACTGGGCCTTCAATGAATGAGCCTCCAGCCACAGTTGTAATGCGTTCTCGTGTTCTTCACCGACTCCCTCGAGGGTCTGGCCCTGTCTGACTGCCTATAATATTTCTACCTAACTTAGCTGTCTATAATACTTTGACCAGGCGGGAAGAGAAGGAGGAGGCACGTGCTGGCAGTGGGGGAGGGCGGGGAGGCGGGCCAGAAGAGAGGGAGAAAACCAGAACCCGGCAGAGCACACCCAATCCAAAGCTCCCGGTGATGTGTGGCGGGGTAGAAGGGATAACTCCGCAGCCTCACAAGGCCTGGAGGAAGCCGTCGATATTTTGGTTCGAGGGGAGCCACTGAAGGAGGACCCCACTCTTCAGAGACCTCGGGAAGAGTCGCCCTGGGCCTCCGAGGGCGCTTCTGGCTGCTTTCGATGTGGCAGCCCCCATCAGCCAGGATAATGATGAGGCAGGTACAATCTATCTAGTTCGCAGCCCCTGGGATCCCCAACCTTCCCACCCCACCCCACCCCGCAGCTTCCTTCTGCTGTCTGCCTGGCTTGCCCTCAAGGGATGAGTGCAGTTCTGACTTTTCTGGCTATTTGACCAAACTCAAACAATTATGAAGAATCTGGCCCTTTTGGAACACTGAGCTCTTGGTGAGATACAGAGTCGGCTGCTTGTAAGACAGCCAGAACTGCAAGTCTGGGGGGAGAGGAATAGGGCCAACCTCCCCAAGGGCACTTGGGTCTAAAGATCCCGGCAGGAGGTGCCCTGAGGAGTGGCAGAGGGGTCCTGGAGGAAGGGGAGGGCACTTGCAGAGGTCCAACGGGCACAGAAACGGTGCCCAACATAGGCTCTGGGTTTCTTGTTGACCTCTAGGTAGTCTTTTTCCCCTAATTCCCTCCGAGGGCTCATAGGAAAAAGCAAGGTATCAACGCGGCAAATTTAGAAGGCGTTCGGAGCAAGTGAGGTCTAAAAACAGCTGAAACGGTCTCCAGATGAGATTGTGCCTCCTCCCTCCAGTGGATCTATAGGTGGGGAAGTGGGTTATTTTCAGGGAGCCAGGAGGAGGTTGGTCTGTTCGCAACATTTTCTGCCGCCTGAGCTGCCCCCGCCCCCGCATGCACAGTGGTGGCACTGGGCGGCTCTCAGCCGGCCCCATCCTACTGTAGAAGGCAGGGGTTTAGAAAAGTTGGAGGTTAAGTGAAATGGGAGCCTCTGGTCTGTCCTCCGCTTTGTGCGCGCGCAGGCGCACACATACACAGAGGCACACACGCGCGCGCGCGCACACACACACGCACACAGCAGCCCTCCCTAGGTGGCTCTAACACACACACCCCTACCTCTCTTCTATGACTTAACTTCCCAGGGTCTCCAGCACGGTGCCCTGAGTACTGGTCCCCAGGAGCAGCGAGTTTTGTTGGGAGGACTTGTCCTTGGACGTACTCCCTTTGTTGGGAGGGGGGGGCAACGGGTGGGCTTGGGCTTGACGTGTGTGTCTGTGGGGGAGGGAGTCTAGAGCTTGGTTTGGAGGAGGAGTTTATGGTTCAAATTCAACCTGGCAGAGTTTGGGGGCAAGGAAGGCCCGTCTGCCTTATAAAAAAAAAAAAAATCTTAAAAGAAATTTTCAAGAAAAAGAACAAATAAGACAGGCTGAAGACATTGATATGTAAAATACAGTGATAAATTGAATGTTTTATTTCTTTTTTCCTGAATCGCTACAAGGGAAATTAAGGGTAGGAAGACAGAAGAGTATTTCTAATTTGGAAGTTTTTTCTTTCTTTCTTTCTTTTTCTTTCTTTCTTTCTTTCTTCTTTCTTTCTTTCTTTCCTCTTTCTTTCTTTCTTTCTTTCTTCTTTTTTCTTTTCCTTTTCCTTTTTCTCTTTTCTTTTTGCTTGTCTTTAAAAGGGGCCCTGAGAAAAGCCGGGTTCTCTGGTCCTGGGCGCAGGGCGCACCGCTGGCGGCGCGGGGGCGGACCGTGGCACGCAAGGGGTTAAGCGCGAGCGCGGAGCCATCTGGCCGGGTTGGCTGGTTATAACCGCGCAGATTATGTTCACGGGACTCAGAGTTGAAGGCTCCTCTCCTTATCGAGCAGCTCTGCGCACCGCCCCGCGAGAGAGCCCGGCGCAACTTTCTTCCCTCTCTCTTCTCTCCTTTCTTTCTCTCCTGCTCCCCCGCCGGGTCGTGGCTGCGGCAGGGTGGGGGAGAGTTTGAATGACCGAGCTCGCGCCCACCTTTCTCTTCATGTCGACGTCCCTGGAAATAGTCACACGGATGCCATGGTTACTTCTGCCACGGTAAGGGGAGGCGGCGGGTACGCTGGGTGAGCAGGTCCGGGAGTGGGTGGCGGGCACGGGTGGGAGCTCTGGCCCTCCGTGGGCCGGCAAGGTCCCCAGCACTGCATCCAGCCCCACCCCCATCGTGCCCCGAGCACTTACTTTCCCGGGTTTGTGCCTCCCCCAAAGTTTGCGCTGAGCTCTGCCCAGGCGGAGGCGCAACCACAACCGGCTCCCTACACACGCACACATACACACGCACACACACATGCACGGACACGGACACCCCTCCCCACCACCTCCTCCCCCGTCCCTGTGCTGCCCAAGAAACCGCCCTCAGTCTGGGAAAGAGATCAGGTTTAAGGGACCTAGATTTGAAAGGGGAGGTGGAGGCGAGGGGAAATGGGGAAGACGGAAGGGCCGGACAGGGATTCAGCAGGGCCACCCTCACCTCCACCCACCCTCGTTTTCCTCGAGAAGCTTCCCGCATCTTGTAACAAACAGGGGTGTCAGGCAGCCCCTGGGCCGGGAGAAGGCGAAGGTGCGGCCACAGCACCCTAAACGCGCCCCTCACCTTGCCGGCCTCAGGCAGGGTTTTCCGCAGGCCCCACCAGCGCGCCGGCCCGCTCGGGCCAGGGAGGGGACACAAAGCTCCGGACCCCGACGGTCACTTCTCAGGCTGGGGAATTGGGACTCCTCGCTCTGCACGGTGTACCTGTGTTGGAGTTCCCGAAAGCCTTTCTCCAGAACGACCCGGAGCCCAAGGCTTTTTGGCCAGTGGCTACCCCGCCCCGAGTCTTTGCGCAGATGTTGGAGCTCGCGCTCAATCCGCACATCTGGGACCCTGTTTAGGAGCGCTGGGTGCTTGGGCTAGGGTGTCCCTGGGGACTTCCTGGCAGTTCCTTGCAGCCGGTTCTAGGAACCCCATCGGTGGTGTGGGAAGGTTGGAGATCTGTGGCCGGCAGGGCTAGGTCGAACACGAACAGCCCCTTTGCCCCAGCGCTCTACTCTGGGGCGTGCAATCCTAAGGGAATTTGGCCAGCGGGGAATAGGTGGTTAGGGAAAGGAAGGGTGGGGTGGCCCGGGGGCTAGGGTGGGGGAGGGGGCTCTGCTTGTTACCTTTGAGGACGAATGAGTGCGCTCCCAGGAGGCGCTGCTGCTTTGCGGAAATCTGTCCCCATCTGCGGAACCCTTGAACTGCCCTGGGAATCTCATGCCCAACAGTGCGGGCCCTGTATGCTAGAAAGGGTCGTCTGGTTGGAATCGAGGCACGGGTGGGAAACCAAGTGGGGGAAATATCTAACAGACTGCCTGGCCTTCTCCCGGCCCAGGTTGGCTGGCAGCGAGGGCGTGAGGGGAGGCAGCTTCGTGGACAGAACCAGAGCCTCCGAGGCTCAGGCTGCAGACTGCACCCTTGTTTATGTGCGTGCAGAGGTGGGGGCGGGGAAAGAGCCGAGAGAGGGTAGGGTGTGACTCCCCAAGTCTGGTGTTTGTAACTCTGCCCATTCCGGAGTGAGCTAGGGAACCTGCTGTTAGTAGAGATGCTCTTTTCTACCCTACAGACAAAAACGCAGGCGAGGAAAATCCCAAAACGTCAGGGTGAGAGACAGCTGTAACCTAGAGGGAACTTTTCAATCGGTCTTGTTTTCACAACTCTTCGATATGCTCCCACGTACTCATCCCGCCCCCTCCCTTCCAGCGTCTGCAACTCTTACCCGAGGCTTCTGCACAAAGAAAGTTGAGAAGTAGAATTAATTCCGGGGATGAAATCCAACTGCCTCTGCTTTAGGTTCCAACACACAGAGCTGGAAGCAAGCTGGGGGAGAGGGGAAGAAAGCTGGCTTCTGGGACAGTAGTAAAGGAAAGGAGCCAATCTGTGGCCTTTGCCTAGGAGAGTGTGCAAGGTTTTGAGAGTGTGCAAGGTTTGAGAGTGTGCAAGGTTTGGAGAACGGTGCTAGGGCTGGATTTGGAAGATTTGGTTCTGTATGAACAAAGTCAGTTTTCCTAAAGAGGGAGATGACAAACCTGGAGTAGCCAGGGAAGGATGGGGAGACTTTTCCAGGCTGCTCTGTGAGCTGTGAGTGAAGCAGTTGTGCTCCATCCAGCTCTGCAGGCCTTGGCAGAGTGGGTCTGTGGGGAGCCTGTGGGACCAGTGTCTGTGTGCACCACATAGAGGGAGATGAGGGCTTCCAGGAACATAGGAGTAGCTGGTGAGAAATCCACTGAGCAGTGCAGTGTGCTGGAGACAGACAGCTTGTGTGGAGTGAGCGTGGGGTGGGAAGGAGGTTGCCTGTGTGAATAAAAGGTGGACAAGAGTGAGTGTGGAGGGCTGCATGCCTGCGGGTTACAAAGGGGATGCCGGGGAGGAGGGCTGAGGAGAGCAGTGTGTGAACGGTGTGAGCATGTGCCCGGGGTTTTGGCAGGGATGGCACTAGGGGCACAAAAATGTGGGCTTTGACACTTTTAAGGGAGAGGCTGGACTTTTCAGGAAATGATGCTGGGCTGAGGTTCCCTTTTTCCTCCTCCCTGTATCCAGAAAGGAGGAAACTGGAGAAGGCTCAGAATGAGAGATGTACATTTAAGGGGAAAAGTGCTTTGCCTCTGCACCGGTAGGAGAATAGGAAGGGATACGTGCACAAGAGGGAAGCCGGTGGAGGAATGCGTCAGAGGGATGCATGTTGTACAGCGTCCTACAATGGATTTTATATTTAATCAGGGAATTCACTGTCAGCAGTTAGCATTGATTATCAGTTAAAATTAATGAGGTGCCTACTGGATGCTCAGCCCATTGCTGGGTACCGGGGCATGGCATGCTGCCCTGGAAAAGTTCCTTCTTGGGGCTCAACTGACCTCCTTAGTTTTGCCAAAAATGGAGAGAGGGCAGTTCTTGTTGTGGTTTCTTCAAGGTCTATAATTCAGCTTCTAGAGATGTTTATGGATGTTGGGGGCAAAGGGAAGCTGACTTGAAATATGTCTGCGGTCTTGTAAAAAGGGAGCAAAGACAGGGGTGATGTACACTGTGTGTGTGTGTGTGTGTGTGCTGGAAGGGCGCTGGAGGCTGTCACTGTTTCTTGTAGAGCAGGTGGACTGGGAATGGGAAGATGCTGCTTTCCAGGATAGGCATTGAGGACTGAGTTTCCAAGAGTGTGTGATGTCTCCTTGCCGGCAGGAAGAGGTCTCGGTACATGGCACTGGAAGAGAATGAAATGGTGCTCAGGAAAGATGTGGGCTGAGAGTGTTTGCTCATCTTGGATGTTTTGGCTATGAGTTTAAAGCTAACCTGAGTAGGTGCACGTGTGTATGCATGTACATGCACACACATGTGTATGTGTATGAGTACATCCTGGCTTTTGTGGGCAAGTACAGTGTGTGTTTCTGCAGGAGTTCTGTGAATCTGGGGAAGGATAAACATCCTCTTGGATGCCCATTGTGATCTGAAGGGGAAAGGTATATATAAAAGACCTACCGGCTTTGGGAAGGAAGCTGATGGTTCCTACTAGAAACCTAAAGAGGGTAAATGAGTCACAACAGAGAAACTGGTACACTTCTGTGATGCACTTATTTGTTTGCCTGTCAGGGAATAAGGAACCCCTTTTTGATTGAATTCTGATCACGTGAGGATACATGTATGGGTGAATTTTGACTCTTACCATTTTTGACTTCAGAAAATTATAGCTGTGCTATTTTGCACTTCTATCCTTTGTTTTAAAGGGAAACTCATACCTGTAAGGAATAGCTGAGGTAGGGCTTGACCATTGGCTGGAGCATCTGGCTGTAGGTGTTTCTGAAGACAATGTAATAAACTGGGAGACTCCTGATCCGGAATCTCTTGATTTTAGTCTAGTTCTGTCACTTTGGAACAATGTGACTTTGAAAAAATAATTCTCATGTATAGGTTTCTCTTTCTGGAAAATGGCAACCTTGATAATGATTTGTGGTGAAGGCAAACCTATTCCTCTTTTTTCCCATCAGAACTTGATGTATTTAGTTACACAAAAGTGCACAGAGATGACATCTAATTGGACCCAGGTGCTGGTCTGTCCATAAGTTAACGCTGTGGAAATGGGATCTTTGCGTCTTCCTTTTACAGTGCAAGCTGATGATCCCGGTGGCCCCTGTGCCTCTGCTCCTTACTCTGTGCAAACAAAGCTTTCTGCGACTGCCTCAGTTTAGTCATCCAGAAACAGGAGGCAGCCAGGCCCAGGCTTCAGTTGATGGAAGTCTGTAACGTCCCCATGGTATTCAGGAGAAAAGTAATCCAAAACTCAGTTATTAATTATCAGAGACATTTTCCTGTGTTTTAATATCAGTTATACAGATTGCAATGCCAAAGTAAATGTGGCTTTGAGAATAGAAAAAATAGTAGTTGTCCTTGGTGTCACTGATATTTGAATAAAAGGGAAACAAAGTCCAGCTATCCTGTGTTACTACCAAGCTCTATTTTTCTGTAGGTCCTGAGGGGGCAAGAGCCTGTCTAGAAGGAAGAGGAAGGCCTGGGCTTTAGAGTTGCAAATTGCTTTGTACCCAGTGAAACAAGTCTGGGGCAGCTACTTCCCCTGGAGATGTAGATGGAGACACGGAGGCACTGAAACCTCTTCAGTCCTCCCAGAAGTGAGTGCATGCTGTCAACTCCTGGCTCAGAGTCAAGGCTCCCATCCTTGAGTTCAGTGGCCATAAATAGTCAGGAGTTAAGCTATTTCCATGAGGCACTAAACCAATTCTGTTGCTTTTCTTGGCGAGAGTGGGCCAATTAAGTTGATTGGAAGAGGTCACTGCTGATGGGCCTCACATTCCCCAAGCGGGACAGGCCAGCAGAGTTTAATTACATAACATTTCCCATCTCTGCAGTCTACTCCCAGATGTGTCAGATGTTCAGGCCTTTCCTCTTCCCCTCCATTCAGCATACCTAATTGAGCAGGCAGCTTCTGCTCCAGGCTTCCCCAGTCCTTTGCCTGAGCAGTTCCAGGTTCCCACTCCAAATGGAGTGATACAAATCCATGTGTGGGCCAGAAGTGATAGAGAGGAATGGACCTGACATAGAAGACCTTTGACACATGCCACCCTGTCCAGTCTTCATCACCAGCTACTGGTTTACTCTTGAATGAGCCAGACACAGTCTGAGATTAGGGCTTTTGAACTAATGATGATTGTTTGGTTTGGGGAGTTAGTTTTATTTAAATTGGCTTTGTCAGACAAGAATCAAGTCTTCTCCTGGAGACTGGCCTAAGCCCTGTCTGGTGCTGCTTAGTAAGGTATGTCAATGTAGTTCATGTGCAGACAGGTATGTGCAAAGGGAAAAGATGTGGGGTGTGTGTGTATATGTGTTGGGGGACACAGGAGGCCAGGAGCTGCCCTGGCTGGGCAGGAGGCATCTGTAGATCTTATATTACAGGTGACTGGTATGTGGATATCTGACTCAGAATGGAATATGGTTGTGTTGCTTCTCACAGGTGTATCAGCCCTTAGAAAACGCTAAGTGCAACATCTTCCAGGTCACTTATATAGAGGGATTCTGAGCTTTGAAGTATGAAGCCAACATCTGTACTACTTCATTGTTGCCTAGGCAAATTTCTATTAAGATCAAGGCTGGATAAACTAAACAAAACAAACAAAAAGCACCCATTAGAGGATTCAGTTTTGCACGTGAGAGTACCAAGAGCTTTGTTCGTCATGACCAAGAGCTTTGTTCTTTATCACTGACATTTCTCCACACAGTTTTCCAGCCTTTCATCTTGCCAAGAAATGCCGAGGGGCTGGAGACCTCACCCACCCTGGGTGGTCAGAATGTCTTTGCTGTCCATGTCTTTATCTGTGTGACAGTGTTGATCAGGAACCTCTGAAGGCTGGCTGGAGCTTGGGACATTTTCACAGGACAGATCTCTGAGTGACAGTGATTTGGCAGGAGAACATATTTTCAAAGTGAAATTTGGTGTGGCTTGTTGTGATTGCTTGTTATCTAGCACACTCTCCAAGGGTGTTTGTCAAGCCCACAACATATGGATTTGCTCAGTCAGAGAGATTTGAAATCAGTGAGATTATTCTACATACATGGCCTGAGCTTTTGATGTCAAAAGACCCCAGAGCAAGGTGATTCTAAGCAGCGTGAGGCAACAAATGGCCTGCTGATATGGAGATGGGAAACTGAGACTGAGCTCTATTACTAAATGACCTGGACATTCTCTACATCTACAACTGAGGAGGTTGAATTAGAAGATCTCAGAGTCCCATTCCAGCTCCACCAATGGAGGACTCTACAGTAACCCCAGCCTCTTATTTAATTGGTGCTCATATACCTCACTTGGAATGTGCCTTGCCACATCCCAATGAGCTATTTTTATATTTGGGAAATAGGCGAGTCAAAGGTACCCAAAGAATTTGCTGGAGCATTTTGTTTCAGC